CCTGGCCCTGCTGACCACGACCCTGCCTGTTGGCTGTGCCAGCCGTAGGGCTCAGAGAACCTTCTTAACCTCAGAGCTGCCAAAGCTTCCCCTCCACGGCCTCCCCTCCAGCGAGAACAGCTTTCATGCAACAATTAAAGGCAAGGTCAGCACAGCCCATTCGATCTTCTCTCGACTGAGCAGGGAGTCCCTGATGGGGAGGACACGCACCCGCTCTCGCCATCCCCGGCGTGCAGGAGACCGGCAGCCCCCTGGGACCCCCTCGTGCCACACCGTGAGGACAGTCCCCAGCCCCGAGCCCCTGGTTGGGACACAAACAGCTGCTCTGGTGGCTGGGGATGAGCTGCTGCTGGCGGTTTGGCTGTAAAACACTCGGATGACGTTTTCTCTCCGCTCACCTTTGATCCTGGTAAACGTGCTCTGGGTGCCGCAGTCGGACTGAGCCTCTCTCTGCGCACAGATGTCCTGCAAAAACTACACTCGCAGCTGTAAATCACAAAGCCCTCCCCAATCTGGTGGATAGCGACAATGAATGATGATTTTTCTAATGGGAACTGGCCAGCATTCAACCCAGCCCTTGATTATTATTATTTTTAAGCACAGATTATTTATATCGAGAGACTTGCAATAAGTAAGACCCTTCGATTTATTCGAGATCAAAAAGCAGTCCAGTCGGGGACGGAGAGACATCCATCCTCCTGGCATGCTCTTCGCTCTGCCGAGCTCGGCCCCTCCTCTCTTACATTTCCAAGCTCACTAAGCCTTTTTTCCTCACAAACGTGAACGAGGCAAGAAGAAGAAGTTCACATTCAGGAAGAAAAAAAAAAAAAAAGATGACTTTTTTCTCTAAAGCACAACTTTGTTTTGGGTTCCTGACAAAGCAATATTCTCCAGGCCAGTTGGAATCTGGAAAAATACACTTACTCAACCTAGCCACCATGACTCCAATAACAATTATAAAATGTCCAATAAAACTTGCATGTAATGTCAATTCAAATCTTGAAAAGCAGAATTAAGTGGTATATCAACATTAAACTTTATTGCTTCCTTTGCAGAGCAGAAGTATTGTCAATAAAAGTCCTTCTGAATGAAGAAAAGGGCAGTAAATATTAAATAAACAGGTTTTTGTTGAAATGCTATAAATGCACCAGAGCCGCATTTTACACTGGGACCCTTTTCTCCCTTCGCAGACTCCCCTCGTGACAGAAATAAGTCAGTAATTGCAAACTATCAATAAAGCGCCAACTAAAGGGTGGTTAGATGCGTGCAGTTAAAATACGTAATTACGAGCCTTTATCATTGATTTTTCAGATCCCATCGGCTCTGACCAAAGCCCTCCCAGCACCCAAACTGTTGCTGCTCGGGAGGAGCCCTGATGGTGCTGGGGAGCGAGCAGGAGCCTGGCCGGGGGCTCTGGGTGCTCCCTTCCTTCTACACACCAAAAGCATTTCCACTCACAATTCCCGCTTGCTCAGCCAATCTCCACCGTGTCTCAACACCCTCCTGCTTCCCGCCAGAGATGGGATGTTTTCCTTCGTCCACGAGACAAAAGAGCAGGTTTTTAAGGGATGGGCTGAACACGACGCAATCAGTGACACCGAAAACCTCAGGTGTGATGCTTGCTGCATATATGCAGGAGCTTCTGTCCTCTGACTTTTGCACCGATTTACATATTTAATGTAAAAAAAAATAAAATAATGAAACCAGCTGGAATGGGAACGCCATAGATTTTCGAAGAAATTATTTTCACTGTAGACCAAGGCTAAACCCGGTGGTTGTAAGAAACAGCTCCAGCAGGGGTTGGACTAGATGATCTTCTGAGGTCCCTTCCAACCCCTAACATTCTGTGATTCTGTGATTTTCAGAGATAAAGAGCAGCACGTGACCGTTAAACATAAAAAAATCCCCCCAAAGGGTGAAAGATGTCTATAAAAATTAACTTTTGGAGAAACTGTGAGCATTCATCCCGGCTATCCGCCGGATCAGACCCTTTGCGCTAGTCCCGGGCTGACACTCCTCTGCCATCTGAGGGAAACAAACCTCCGGCAACACGCTGAGAGCAGCCACGCCAGCGCGAACCACCCGAGAGCCAGCAGCGACTTGCTGTGAATCATCTTGATTCACTCGAGCCTCAACTCCTGACCTGCCCATTGAGTCAGTTCCTCTGCGCGCTGCTCCTGCTCCCACAAGAAGGGACTCCAGGGAACCCCACCGCTGCGTCACTGCCCCGGCCGCTGCGTGCCCACGTCCTCGTCACGGGCGAAGACGTGACCCTTAGGAAGAAAACCCCGGGAGCATCTCACCTGGAAGAGGATCTGCAAGAGGCCGTGGACGATGCACAACCGCCGGCCCAGGAAGAGGAAGAACGGCACCACCAGCTCGATGAAGTGATTGACCAGCGTCTCGAAGCGGTGAAACCACCACGGCGAGCGGTGCATGAAGTAGGCGATGGCGTTGGGCACGGGCTGCGTCTGGAAGACGGAAGGAAAGAAAAAGATCAATCCCACTCCAAGGCTCATCGTCGTGGGGAAACTACACAGCTCTTGGCCTTTTTCCTTGTTTCTTTCCCCAAGTTTGCTCACAGGAGAATCATCCTTTGCCTCCGGGCAGTCATTTCTATTTAGAGAAAATTACTTTATTCAATTTCTTTTCATGTAACCCCAAGGAATTTTTCAAGTAATACGTCTTTTAGAAGTTTTAATTTTCTCTTTTTTCATCCTAACCAAACCCCACTCAAATTAAAACCCTTACTATTTAATACCAAAATGTTACAGGCAGCTCGACGCCGATGGATGTGAAATCGCTCTGCCCAAGCGCTGCCGATCATCAGAGCAACGAAGCAGATACAGAAACGGAGAAAAAGATTTTTTCTCAGGGTCACGCAGTAGGTCAAACAGAGCCAGGAATGGAAACCAGATTTCAAAACCTAGGAGATACTCTTTCAAAATGTTTAAATTTGAAATAAATGTGGTGGTAGGGTTGCTTTCCAAAATTGTAATTTGGGAGAGGGAAGTGTAATTCCTCTAAACATGCTATATTGGTTTAAGGTATTTACATACTGGCCTTGTGACAATATTATTCTTCTATCAGCCTGGATTTTTTTGACGCTGGGAGATCTTTCATCCAGTACAATAACGCTGCAAATTTTACAAAGGAAACAAACTCAAATCCTAATATGTTAATAACCGCTACCTTTACAAACGGCGCAATTTTAACAGCAAGAAAGACCTTAACAATTCCTTTTTAGCCTATCTGACAAGCTCAAATTCATTAGGATTGTTTTAAAGCTGCAACCAGAAAAAGAGAGGGGATGAAGACGCGACTTTTAATTGAAGGAGACACAACACATCTTTAAATTATTTGTAGCTAAATCAAAAATACAAACAAACCAGGGAAAAACACTGCGCTATGCATGGCAAGCGAGCGCGCTTGCGCTGCCAAATCCCACAACCATTGTAATTCCTTATTAGCAAAGCTGGGATTAATAAAGCTGTTGCTTTATACGAGTTTGAGGCTGCTGTAACCCCTTAGGACAGGAGACCGCATCCTTCCTTCCTCGGACACCGGCGCCGGATGGAGCGGTGTCGGGGTCAAGGAGCTCTGCCAAAGCCGCTCCGGCACCGGCGGGGAGGTCAGGGCTCCCCCGTCGCGGGGCAGCAGCAGCCCCGGGTGCCACCGAGGGTCCTTCCCCTCCGCACGGGACCTGTTTCAAGTTAATCTGCTTGTAGGGCTGCTCTCGAGCTTTCCCAGAACACCAGAAAAGCTCACAAAGAGATTTTTTATTTTTTTTTACCTTGATCTCAAATTGCTGACAAATGCTTTTATCCTTCCTAAAACGCAAGTTGCTTTCTTGGCTTCTTCTATTCTTACTTTTCTTTAACCAAAACTGACTTAGACGAGCTACAAGCCCTACAGGTTTAGGCCAAGATGAGCTGGTTTCCAGCCTGATCCCAGCACACCAGAGCTGCGGGAAGGCGGCGGTTTATCCTTTTCCCGCATGAAGATGCCACTTGGTGCCCCATCCCCTTCCCTCACCAACGCCCTCACCTATCAAGGCCAACAGCAGCCAGTAAATCCCGCTTCAGGCTGGGACTCAACAAACTCTCCCCCTCAGTCCGCTGTGCTTTAAAGGGCAGAAAAATAAAATTCTTGCCTCTACTCCCAGCGCAGCAGGACAAGAAGCAGAAGAAAATCCTCGGTTTGGGCTCGCGTGGAAACAGCCCAGCCGGGTCCGCTGCTGTTTGATGCTTTTTGAGCTTAATTCTTATCCCCAAGTGGAAAGGGGGGAAAAAAGCGAAGCACGGAAATCTGTTGTGGGTTAATAATAAGTGACCCTCCCGGTGCAGCAGCATCACCGTCCTTCCCCTGATGAGCACTGACACTGTCTCGGTGTTGAGGGGGTCAATGCTGTGTGACGGGTGCCGTAACTCCGACGATGAGCGAGGCTGGAAGTCTAAAAGGGCAGCAGGCACACCACGACTAACCGTGGTCCCTCAGCATTCCTTCTGACGGAGGGAAAGAAATGCATTTGGTAAGAGCGATGGAGCCCCCGGGGACGCTGTCGGTAAAGGATCCTCCGCATTGCAGCGGACACTTCTCCAGTGTGTAAACCTCGAGTAGGCAGAACAAAGCGTAGCGATAGGGAAGCGATGCGCACGTATCACAAATTCGTACAGAGGCTGCTGGGGGAGCAGAGCGCCGTGGGTGGGTGTGTGTGTTCCTCCCAATGCCTTCCAGATGCCGCGAGCGCGCCCGCAGCGTGGCTTTCCCGGGGAGAAAGAAGCTGCGTTAGCTCGGGAGAGGACGTCGAGGTAAGAGCAAAGACCCAGAGCAACGTGTGAGTCGCTGAACTCGGGCACCTGCCATGCTGGAAAGCTTTCTGGTTCCTCTTCGCATCAAAGCTGACCTCTGCCCGGGGTGCTGGGGGCACCGACACCCCGACTGGGGGGGTCCCGCTGTGCAGCTCTCCCAGGGCACGTCTCTGGGGCTCAGGAGGAAAATTGCCCAACGCAAGCATGGTCAGTGCTCTCCCAGCCTACTCATCCTACGGAAACACCGAGGCGGTGCCAGAGGCGTGAGAGCCCTGGAGGAGGGAAAAACATTCCAGGACTTCTTCAGTCGGGGGTTTTGTGCTTTTGCACCTTGCTTCGGGGCTGCTTTGGAAGGAGAAACGTCCTAGGAAGCAGCCAGGAAGGACTTTTCCACATTGGGAACCCTGACACACACAGACAGAGAAAAATGCAGCTCCAAGTCAGATGTGACTAAATAAACAAGCTCAAGGCAGACGTAGGTGAGAGGAACAGAGCAGAGGCCTTGTCTCCAATACGTCCCATTTCTGGATACCTCAGCGAAACATGGAATGTCTTTAAATAAATAATAAAAAACCCCTATCAGCAAAAAACGGCTTTATGTGTCAGCACAAGGTGCAATATAATAAACCTTCCCTTTCCCTCACGCCTCCAGCAGCCGGAGAAATACTGCGCGGCAAATGAGTTTCGAGATCGGATTGGGGAAAATTAATTCCATAATTCGGGGGGCAGATTTGTGACGTGTGACGGCGGGGCGAGACGCGGTG